CCTCCCAATTTCTCTTTCTCACCCCCCTCCTAATTTCTCTCACCCCCGCTCCTATTTTCTCTCACCACCCTCCTTTCTCTCTCACCCACCTTATTTCTCTTTCTCACCCCCCCCTTATTTCTCTTTCTCACCCCCCCTTATTTCTCTTTCTCACCCCTCTCTCACCCCCCCTTATTTCTCTTTCTCACCCCCCTACCTCCCTGTAGCGTGGCCGAGCCCTGTATGATCCGCGGGTACAGGGAGCTTTTGTTTCCTGTACCCGGCCGGACTAACAGGAAGTGAACACTCAGTGTGCACTTCCTGTTAGTCCGGCCGGGTACAGGAGACAGATGCTCCCTGTACCCGCCGACTATACAGGGCTCGGCCACGCTACTACAGAGGGAGTGACAGGAGGGAGCGCTGAGCGTTTCCCTCCTGTCAGCCCCTCTCCCCATGCTGCGCCCGGGCGGTGCGGTCCGCCCTCATGGACGCACCGCCCGGGCAAAGCTGCAGCCGCCTGAGGCTCTCTACAGAGCGCTCGGGCGGCTGCAGCATGGGGGGGTCGGCGCTCCTGGCCATGGCACCCCCCACCCCGGTGGCACCCGGGGCGGACCGCCCCCTCCGCCCCCCCCTTAGTACACCACTGCCTCTCCCTATACAACCAAGCATTCTGCTAGCATTTCCTGCTGCTCTATTACAATGTCTGCCTACCTTTAAGTCATCAGAAATAATCACCCCTAAATCCCTTTCCTCATATGTTGAGGTTCGGACTCTATCAAATATTCTGTACTCTGCCCTTGGGTTTTTACGTCCAAGATGCATTATCTTGAACTTATCCACATTAAATGTCAGTTGCCACAATTCTGACCATTTTTCTAGTTTACCTAAATCATTTGCCATTTGGCCTATCCCTCCTGGAACATCAACCCTGTAGCGCAAATTCCAGTTTTTGTTTACGTTTTGTTTTGATCAGAACATGCACTATTGACTCCGTCCTGAAGGGGTTAATACATAACTGGTAATAAATATATTCAACCATGACAGCTGCATTCTGTGCTGAGGTAGATTGCCATAGATCACTTAAAAGATTTTAGATTGAATGAAGATTTGACTGTGTCCCTGAGGTTATTCCATAATTGCAGTGCTCTGTAGGAAAATGAGGATCGAGCAACTTTATTTTTGTATTTCGGTATGCTAAATATCGTGCTAGTACTGGATTGGAGGTTATAGGAGTTGGGAAGAGCTGGGTAGAGCATTTTACTCAGGTAGGATGGGAGCTTCAAAGAAATGCTCTTATGAACAAGGCTGGAAAGATGAAGAGTGCGTCGGGATTCCAGCAATAGCCAGTTTAGCTCTTTTAACATGTCACAGTGGTGGGTAAAGTAATTACATTCTAATACAAAGCGGCAGAACTAATTATATAACGTATTAAGTTTATTAAGGTGGGTTTGCGGTGCGGGTGCATACACTACATTCCCATAATCAATAACAGACATTAGCATTTGTTTCTTACTGTAGGGCTTAGGCAGGGTTTGTTTCTGTACAGGGCACCTAGTTTTCAAAATATATTTTCAATGTGAAGGCAAAGAATAGATTGGGGTCTAGTAACATACCCAGATATTTAAAAGATCAGACTGCTGTCAGTGAGCTATTTGAATTTGTTCTGATACACAGTTGTTGATTTTGTAGTTTACGTAATTTAGGTACCATTCCAAAGATCATTGTAACAGTTTTGTCAGTGTTTAGGAAGAGTTTGTTATCTGCTATACACTTTTCTACCTCTGTGAATTGGTTTTGGAGCACAGCCTCAAGCTGCGGTAGCTTGGGTTTACTAGCGTTGATTACAGTGCCGTCTGCATACATTTGTACAGTTGAGGATTTGCAGATGCTAGGCAGATAATTTACAAATAGTGTTGTCGCGAACTTTTTGCGAACGGTTCGCCACGGGCCGTTCGCGGCGAACTCCGGTCAGCTGACACATCCCGGCCAATCTCCAGCAGACCCTCCCTCCCAGACCCTCCCACCTCCTGGAGAGCATCCATGTTGAAGTTAGTAATGGACAAGACAAAGGTGATAAAATAAGCAATGTGCCAGGGATGTGCAAAGTATGATTAGCACAGGCTGTATTTACAAAGACATGGAAATATATACATTGAAAATAATAAAATAAAATAGTAATCACTAAATATAAAAAAACACAAAAAAATGGCATGGGCCTTGATTATTTGACAGGATTATTTGCTCAGGTGTTATGTTTAAAGGTTTAGCAGATATGCCCTTGCCATGAGGGAGTGGTTATTGTGTGTTTTGCATATTGATTGACAAATCAACAGAACTGGAAGTAAACTGAAAGGAACACTACAAGCACCATAACCCCAAGAACACAATGTAGTGGCTTTGGAGCCAGGAGCACCCACTGAAAGGAATCAAACTGTTTTAGAACACTAGCTCAACCAACAAGCTAGCTAGTCAAATGTTACTGCTTTCCATTTCTGGTTGGTGTCAAAAAAAAGGTTCTACATACATCAAAAACTACAAAAGTGCTCAACAGAGAACTCTTAAAAATATCTGGGTTCCATGTTGATTGGCTCCACGATATTAATTTATTATAGAACTGGCCCATTGACTCTATTGATTTTTACCACAAAAATAAATACATTTTATAATCAAC